AAACTATAATAAAACGATAGTTGATAAAAATATTAACTATCGTTTTTTAAACAGAATCACAATTTACCATTATATTTAGTAAAATTAACCATTAATATAGTACACACTTAATAGTATAAAACTAATAAGAATAGTAATTGTAAATAAATAAATATACCTATTTTGCTTTTATATATTAGGGGAAATATTAGGAAATATAAGGGGATATAAGGGGATTATAAGATTTATAAAAATCATTTATCATTATTTATGTGTTATTTTTGTTAAACTTTTTAATGGCAACATATAAATAAACAATATTTAGTTAAAAAAATAAAAATTATCAAAAACAAATATTAACTTTGCTTTTAGTCATATTGATAGTTAAATAATTATTTAGCAATTATAACAATATCTATGTATTTTTTATTTATTACTTTAATAGTTAAAAAATTACATTTATAATTCTGTGGTTTTAAGTTTAATTACATATTTTGAATAATTTTTAATAGAAATTAAAATCATTTAAGTAAGTTTTAATATTTTATTTTTGGTTTTTAATTGAAAAAAAATTATTATAAATGAGGTAATGATGTTTTTAAATGAGATTTATATAAAAGTCAATATAAAAACAAATAAACTTTATTAACATACAATGGAAAACGAGTTAACAGCACTCTCAGCACTCTGCACTAACGCAGCAAAGACGGTGTCAGACCTCAACAAAAATAATAAGGAATACAACTTTGTTGACAACAATACATTTAACATTGATCAACGCATCGAAAATGCAGAGGGACACTTCGACAGACTCGATGCTATATTTGATAGAAAGAAAAACATCACAACTTCACTCAACAAAATCGTCACTGATTTGGATAACGTATCCAACAAAATCAAAAGCGAGATAAGTCTGTATTCAACACAGAGCGACAACGACAAGTTGTATGAGATATTCAGCATCAAGATAGCACTTTATGAGGAGAAGTGCCAATGGGACATAAAACCACTTGAAGATGAAATTGACAAAATCAAACAAGCAAAAAACACTAAAATTGATCAAATTATGAAATCGGGTAAATTCATTAATTCAAAGAAACAACACGATGAACAAGAAGCCGAGAGAATAAAGAGAGAACACATCACACTTGAAGAGAAAGAAGGTCTTGAGAAGTTGACAGGAATGAAAATAAAAAGTGTTGTGTTTGGCGCAGACATAGACAACTGGTCGCAAAATACCTCGGTGTTTAATGCAAAAATCATCAACAAAAGCAATTTGTGCTTTTTGGTAGAAGACGCCAATCACAACAAGTTTGGTGGTGTGTACACTGGTAATATCAATGCTGTTGGCAAATGGCTCAACAGTGGCAGTTCTTACATATTTTCACTTGTGAGAAATGGCATTCTGAATCCAAAAAAGTTTGGAAAGAGTGGAACTGACACAGATCACGAATTTTGGCTTGGTGCTCAAAACGATTCATACCTATTTACATTTAATGGTGATATGTATGTGCGCAAGAATGGTCAAAACGTGAGTTATTACAATTCATACACTTACACCGCCAAACAAACCGAGTTGACTGATAACAACAATTACACACCAAAGAGTGTTGTTGTCTTTCAACTAAATTGACTTTTTAAATTTTTATGTTTTTGTATCAAAATTTGCAACACATTGACTTTATAAGCGCCATTCTTGTAATATGCCACGTCACCACAAATTGAATTAATGTACACAAGTTTTAACAAAATCTGTCCTTTTTGAAGGGCCGGACAGACGGAAAGAAAACGGGTTTCACCCTTCAAACCTAACACTGGAACAAACACTCGATTAGGATATCTTGATGTTTCTTTTTTCAGGCATCTCCTCTTTGTGTCTTGTATCTTCCGGAGATGGATTCACGACGCCGCAACTCGCCGGGTTCAACAAGTTTCGACAGTTGCGGCATATCTACTCTTTGTGTCCCGTTGTATCTTTATGAAGTATATTAATTGGAAAGTAGTTTGGTATTTTTATTTATTATGGGTTTTCTCAAACTACAAACTATAGTAATTAACTATTGGAATCATATTAAAGTTGATATTTTCATCTAAAAACAAATAGCACAATGTTGATATAATTAATTATAATTTAATAGTTTGGTAACACAATTTATTTTTTGAAGCAAAAAACTAAGAAAAGATCAATAGACATAATTAAACAATTACAATTGACAATTTATAATATTAACTATTTTGTCTGCGTATTTTTTCTTTTGTGCTTCAGCTTGTTGGGCAGTTATTCTTTCAAAATCAAGTTGCTCATTCAACTCAGTCAATTTCTTCTCGTAAGTGTTCTTTGACTGTTTATAAGTCTTTGCAGCTTGTTTAAGGGCCTCCAATTGAGTCTTCAGTTCAGACATATCGTCTTTAAATTTGTCACATCGTCTTGTTACTCGTCGAGTTCCGTCTTTGTTCTCATCAATTCTTCGGAAGCAGTTTTATAATCTCTCATAGTCTTGACATTTTTTTGTTCAGCCATCTGGACGTTCTTCTCGAGGGTTTCAGCTCTGACTGTGAAGTGCCATCTTTGTCATCATTTGCAGTGTCAAGTTGTTTCTGTGCCTTGTCAACTTGGACTGTCAAGTCATTCGCTTTTTAGTCAATTTTTCTTCAGTGTTATTTGCTTCATCTAAGTTGCACTGGACTTCCTGTAATTTGCTCTCAGCAGCCTTTCGTACAGCATCTGCACTGTCAGGTTTCTGTCTTTCTTCATCAAGTTGGGCTTGAATTTCAGCAAATCTTGCATTCAACATGTTCTTCTCTTCTTCTTGAGCAACAGAAGCTGGTGATTGGGTGATATAATATTCTAGCAAAAAATATTCTTGCATTGAATATTCGTACATTTTTTTATTTTTAGACATCACAATTATTTAAATAATAATTTAAAAATAAATATTGTTTTTTAATATTTTTATGTATATTATTGTAACATGTTTCAGATTATATTTTTGAGACGCTCTTTTTATAATTGTGTTTTGGATAATAATAATATCTTGAATTAACTTATAATTAAAATTAAATAGTTAGAAATTAACATTAAAAAATAAACAACTACACTTATTTGTAAAATATATTATTAATTCAATGAAAAAAAATGTTGTTAAAATAAATATACAAAAACTGGCATTATATAAACAATAAAACATAATAATATCAATTTGTTGTTTATTTTATTTTTGTTGTTTTTCTTTTTCTTTTTCCGTTTCCAACAAAACGTCGTTTTGATATCGGTACATAATCACTTTTTCTTTTAATTCCACCAAGAGTTTTTTTTGATTTTTACTTTTTGAATTATTTCAACATTTTTAGTGCGTACTATCGACGGTGTAAATTCCATTTCTTTTAATTTATCCTTAATAATTCCAATGTAGTTTTCATCAATTGGTTTTGTTTTAATTACTTTGCGGTCTATTGTTGGAGCGTTTTCTTCATCATTTATTTCGTAAAGATTGTTCCAGTTGTATGAATCAATTTCCTCGAGTAGATTGGATTCAAAGTAAGATTTTGGACTACTTTTGGAATAGTAATTTAATGTAAGATTGTATATTCTGGTTAGGCGATTAATAAAATGGTTGTTACCTCGATCCATTTGATCCAATTTTTTGAGTTCATTGTCTTCAATTTTCATCAAATTTATTAGTAATTTTGGCAACGTTGGTTTAATGCAACTTATTCTTTTAACAGGCGCAGAATGATAACTTTCACTCAAATTAACTGTTCTAATCATTTGGTTAAATTGACACCATAATAATACTGGCCAACCAAGTATCCAATTTTTTTCGTAATAATCTATAAGTGTTTTAATATTATCAATGGTCTTTTCTTGAAAAGTCGATTCTTCTTTAATTTCATAAAACCGTTTTTCTATTTCACTTTGTTTGTAAAATGCAAGCAACTTTAATTTATTGACTATTTCCCAAACGACTGAATTTGGAGTATAATACATAGATAGTCCACATCTTTGTACACATCTCCAAATACACTGGGTATAATGAAAATAACAACCATGAATATAACACCCCAGTTTTGTTAAAGCATTAATATAAGCTTCTTCAAAATCAACCATAACACTTACATTATTGTTAATCAATGTGTGTCCCCAAACAGTTTCCAAAAAAGTATTAATTGTATCAAATAAAATTTTATAATCAATCTCTCTTTTCTTGGACATAAGACAATGTGCAAGTGTGTAACTTTGTCCATTTTGTAAGATAACATGTATTGTGTATAATTGAGCATAATCAGAAGGACAAGAACTGAATGTACCGTCCATGCACAAATAAATAATTGTCCGATCTTTTAGTTCATTTACTTTTTTCTTACTAATTAACAAAAAAATGTTTTCATCTTCTTCAATATAATACTTATCACTGGTCAATAATTCATCAAGTTTATCTTTAATTAATTCACTTTTCAACCTATTTATTGTCCTTTTAATTGTTGTTCTTCTTCTTTTGTCTGTAAGAATAATCGTTTCATATTGATCCAACAATTTTGTTGTTGGTAAAAGTATATTTGTTCCTGCTTCTAGTATTTTGTGAATTTCATGATTGTAATTGGTTTTAATTTGAGGCAAATGATCATGTTTTGTTTCATTATCATTTTTGTATTCAAACTTATCAAAATAAATTACTTCATTGACTATATGATATTTAGTAATAGTGATTTTTACGTTACAATTTTTGCACTTGTAAATAGTTCTGTCTCCATTTTGTGGATGGAATATATACTCATCGATAACGGGCAACATTTTATTAGTTCCATCACCGCTTTTCTTTTGACTTTGTACTTGAGTCAATATTGGTGTATTTGCCATGATTAAGTTGTGTATTTTTATTGATAAATAGCCATAAACACGTATTATTTTTTTAAAAATAGAAATTTCGCTTTATTAATATTCTGTTTTACATTGGTTATGTAAATGAAAATAAATTTAGTAACACAAATATAATTATAAATAAAACCGATCTAAAACTTCGTTTATTTGATTTAATTTTTCATAAAATAAATTTAAAATATATTAAAAACATTGAAAATTTAGTAAAAATTATTTAAAACTTTAAAAACAATCTGGGAAAATTTCCCAAAATATTACAGTTTTTATTATTTAAAAAAATACTTTGAAAATGTTTTTAGATTGATTATATTAATAATTAAAACTAAAATAAAATGCCATTAAACCAATTAAAATTAATATGATTAATTTTGTTCCTTTTACATGACTTACAAAAATTAAAATGTCGTAAATACAATAGGAAGAAATAAAAGGATGCAAGAAATAGGAGGATTCTCGCAAATATTGGTTATTTTCTATACAAAAATGAAATTGATAATGATTTAAATAATTAATAAAATGAAAAACACTAAAATAAAATTATTTTTAGATTTACATCCTTCTTTTTAATCTCTAGTTCAATAATGTTTCTGGGCATATAATATAAAAATATAAATATTAAAGTGTCTTTATTGTTAATGGTTCATCTCAATTTATTAATAAACTTAAATTATTTATAAACCCCAAACATAAAAATGTAAATAAATTGCTACGAATTTTAATATTAGAAATGCACGAATATTCAATGCAAGAATATTTTTGCCCGAATATTTTATCCGTTCACCGAAGCTGGTGCACTGACTTGGACGTTAAATGATGAGACTTGTGCATTGAGTGCTTTGGCTTGGTCTTCCATATTCTTTTCTTCTATTAAATTGGTCCGCTGCAGTCTTCTCAGCCTCCGCTTTGTCGTCCAAAGCCATCTTCTTTTGTGCTTCAAGTGCCTTAATCTGTGATCCATAATTCTCAATCTCCAAAGCGTCTTCAATTGCTTCTTCATATCCTTCTTAGCAACATCAAGTTGTGTGTTCTGTTCTTTCAACACAGCAACTGCCTTTTCCAAATCAACTATTTGGTTGTCTCTCTTGATGACTTCAGTTCGATCAATATTTGAAGTCCCAACTGGTCTATATTCAAGGTCTTGTACTTGTTGTTCCAAATCGGCTATATTTCTTCTTGTCTTTGGCTGTTCTGTCTCTTAATTTAGTCAACTCGGTGTTGTTTGCTTCTAAAGTCTTACAAAAGTCTCTTTGTAACTTTTTGATTGAACCATTCAGATTGTTGGTCTCATCTTCGTGTACTGAGACCAAGTTAATGAGTTGGTCATATTCGTCTTGAAGCTACTTCTTTTCAGAAGAAAGTTGGTCTTTGTCATTCGCTAAGTTCTTCACCTCTTCTTTAATTTCGTCGTTTTCTGTTTTCAATTTCTTCGCCTCTTTTTCTTTCGCAAAATCAAATTTTATAGACTCTAAATATTGACAAGTATCATTTTTGGTTAAGACATATTCTGTTTCTTCCATAATATTTGGTGGACACGTTGATAACGCCAAAATGATCAACACAAATACATATAACAAATTGATCATATATAATTGTATTTTAGAGATATTGATAAAATTCTTAAATAAATAGAATTGGATGCTTTCGTTGTCATTTCTTTACCACAATTCCTTAAATTTTATTACACTGTCTGTCTTAAATTTTATCTGGTCTCTAATGTTATCTGGTATTTTTTGGACCATAAAAATTGGAATATTTTGGGAAGCCCTCTTTATAATTTGTTTAAAACAATAAAAACATAACAAATACAAATCAATGAAAACTTAAATATCACACAAAACAAATATTTTATCATTTGTTTTTAAGCATAGTCCGGCAAATAGAATTTCATTTTATTTTTTACATTGAAAGTCCATAACTTGCGGCAAATTAAGCGAAAAAAATACCAATTTTTTGTTTTTTGTTTTGTTAGTTACTCAAAATGTAATTCAGAAAAATCTTTAAAACCTATTTTGGGTTTATATTAAAACATTTGTGTTATTTTTAACATTATTTAAAAAAACCAATATTTTATTATAAATTTACAATTAAAAATTACTATAAATTAACATGAAAAAACAAAACTCATATGAGATTATAAACGTCCGTTATAAACAAAATGAATTTTATTATCTGTTAAAATTTATAGTAAATTTTAAAATAATACTTTTATATAATATCATAGTTATTGAAAATGTATAAATATAATAATAATAATAATAAATAATATTGATTTATATCAAAATAGATATAAACGTCCGTTATAAACATAATAAATTTTGTTTGTTTGTTTAATTTTAATATTATTATAAATACTAATATATATATGTATATACTAATAATAAAATAATAAAATAATAAAATAATAACAATTATAACAATAATATTATTGTTTTATTGTTATTATTTTAATAATAACAATAAAAATAACAAACATAAAATAATAACAATAATAACAATAAAAAATAAAAAATAAAAAATAAATAATAAATAAATACAATAATAACAATAAAAATAACAACAATAACAACAATAACAACAATAACAACAATAACAACAATAACAACAATAACAACAATAAAAATTGAAAATAAATTAAAAAAATAAGAACAATAAAACAAAAAAGATGAATGTACGTTTTAGTAATAACAAATGGTTTTGGAACAACATGGACATGGGATTTATTAAAGCAGAAAGGGGAGACGATAATTATTATTATTGTGTTATTTGCGAAAAGTGGCTAACGCGTGGAGTAAAAAACAATCACAAATGCCACAACTCTACTGTCTTTGTGTACAATAAAGAAGAGGCTTTAGAATTTATAAACCCCTCTAATAAACATCCAACACTTACAATCAACAACAAAATTATCAAACGAGACGATATATCACAAGAACTGCTTCAGAAAAGCGATCCAATTCACAGAGATCGAGTCAATCTTTCAAATTTGCCAACGAACAATTATCTGGTGAACACCGATTGTTTGACCAATTTAAACACGTCATCACATATCGAAAATATTCCAATGTTACAAATTACAAACACAACATTGCGTCCACTCACTTTTCCACACACAGAAACTTTACTGTCAGACAATCCAACAGTTTCATCATTCGGAATTACAACTTCAGTAAGTGATATTGTACCAATTAATTTGAATTACACGACTTCTGCGTTCAAATATAGTTCTTGTATGTTTTCAATTATTCCATCGGCAATTGGTCTGCCTCAAAATACACATAAAAATATGAATGACACAATACAAAGAAACACACAACATGAAGAAATTTGTCATCAGATTACATCAACAAGAGAAATTCATCTCCAAAATCAAGAACATTTTTCAAATGCAATTTCTTCACAAACACAAAATTTATTAAATGATTCCTCAACAGTTGAACACCAAAATGAAATGGAGTCTGAAGATTTAACATGTGAAGTGTCAGAACTTGAAAACTTTGTTGAGGAACTGTTCAATTTCAACGACGGTGTTTTTGCGTTATACACTGTAACTCCATTTAGTGATTACGATGACGAGGAAATTTCGAGACAGTTAATTCATTTTTGTAAAGCTCCAATTGGAATCGATTTAATTAAATTTAAAGGAGCTTGTGACATACTGTTTTCAGATTCATCAAAGGACGAAAAAGTTACAACACAACAACAACGAAAAAAAAGTTTTGACTCATAAACGTAAAGTTGTTCAAAACATCATAAATCATTTGACAACCAAATACAAATTTTCTGATACGTGTTGTTCAATTTTGAAACAATCGTTAGTGATTTCTTCATCTCAATTGACTCCAGAAGCAGTTGATATATATAAAAAAACTCGCAGTTAGTTTTAGAAGTGCGCGTCGTCGACTGAAGAGTGAAAACAGTATCACATCGACACAACTTATTAACGATGTTAGAAATTGTGTATGTTTTGCCATAGCAACTGATACGTATAAAAAGGATGGTATAACATTTGTCGCAATTTTTATTCGTGTGTGCATGAAATTTGATTTTTATGAGTGTCCCCTTTTGTTGTCAGAGTATTACGGAGAAAGTGATGGTGAATCAATGTGTGAATGGATATTCAATGCACTTGCTTTCGATATCAATAAAGAAGTGTTATTCCCATTGCGCAAATTTATTGGCAGCACACAAGATGGTGCATCGGCAAATATGGGTTGTGATAACGGCATGATTAAACATATGCAAATGAAACTAGTTCCTATAAAAAATCCAGAAGGTAATATAATCGAAAGAAAGTTTTATGGAGTACACTGCCCCGCTCATAGATGCAACTTGTTTGCACAAGATGTAGGAATGGAAGCACCATTTGATATAGTGACAACATTTATTAAATGGTTGTGTAATTCAACGAAGCTAAAAGAATACTACACTTTTTGCAATTCCAACAACATAAAGAAATGTAAATTGTCCACTTACTCTGCAACAAGGTGGAATTATATGGCAAATTCTTCGTCTGCAATTTTGAAAAGCGAATCTTTAATTGAGCAATTTGTCCAAGACGAAGAACAACAGGCAGATGTATTTGGTGAAATGGTCGAAAAACAAATTAAAGAATTTGACGTTGAAATGCAAGATTATATCGAAATATTTTCTTTGAACAACTCCTATATACATTTTAGTGTGTGTTTGTTCAATGATATTTACACACTTGTAAACGAGTTGTGCATTGAATCACAAACACGGCTTTGTATACTTCCAGACCTTATAGAAACAACAAAATGTTTTGGAGTTTACATTGATGTTATAATCAAATCAGTCAAAGAATCAATTGAAAATAAAACAGAACTT